GGTGTTATTTTTTGGCTAATTTTTCCGATACTTAAAAATTCCCCCTAATAATGGAGACGACTTTGTTCCACCCTTTGTGTCCTTTAGATATAGAAAATAGCAAGTAAAATCAATAAATGACTCACTTGGCAAATTATAAAGTAAGGTCGTTGAGTGTTTTTTTTATGGCAAGTTACAAAGTACACTTGGTGTGTTACGAAGTAAGACCATTCATTGACTTGCTTGGAAAATTACCGAGAAAGATCATTGAATGATTCAATTGACAGGTTACAATTAGCAAGTTAATAAATAAGCTTTTAGATTTACTTAAAATATTATCATTGAAAGGTAGAATAAACTTTCAGCGGAAACAAAAGGCCGACGTGTGAAAAGTTATTTATGTGGCGCCAATAACGTGATTTCTATTTGAAGTATTTTGAAAATATGTCTGTATATATATAAGACGTTATAATAAATAGCATTAGTAGCTGTTTTAACTTCACTATAGAACTTTAATTTAGAAAAACAATAAAGTCAATATGAACCGAAGAAAAAAGGTTTAATACAAAAAAAAGATATTAATTTGTCTCACGAAAATATAGCTTCACTTCAAGGGCGCGGGTTGGCCCTGTGGTCAGGGTCGGATTCAGGTTTAATGGGACTCCAGGCCCAAGTAATATTTGAGAATAATAATGATAACTCACTCTTGCCTCTATTCTGCTAGTTTTAGGAACCATATGTTTTTTACTTGGGTGACCCGCAGAGCCCATGTATGGCCAGGACCCTAGGTGGCCTAAGCGTTAATCTGATACTGCCTGTGGTGGAGCTCTGGATTTTGAAGTAGAGAGCCGATATTTCGAATCCTTCCGATACCACAAAATATTCCATACTTTTTTTAGTTTATAAGAGTGACACTCAATTCCTAAGCGTAGATGGTGGGTGTTAGGGTGCCGTTGACTGACTACCTTTCTGCCAGTCAGTAGTTCAAAATTAGGGAGAACGGCAGAAAGCCTTATTATATTTGCCATAAATACAAAATAATACAGCTTTATTTAGTAATTATAAAAATAGTTATGATTTTGTTTCATGAAAAATAGGACTTCATTCATTCCATAGTACGCTAGTTATAAATATATTTAGTTCATTAATAATTCCCCAGTGGTTCAACGATAAATCTGAAATCTTATAACCGGGAAACCGGGTTTCGATACCTGTGGTTGGTACAACACTGATATCCCATTGTATAGCTTTGTGCCTAATACAAACAAAGAAACAAATAATTCATTAATAATAATTTCCATGACTTTATATTCATGTTCAAATAAAAAAAAACTATAAATAATTAGATTTTCAAAGTTTAAAATGATAAACTTCTCTGTAGGATTATCATTTAAAAAGATAATCGAATTTTCTTTGACATAGTAATATACCAGCTGTAATATAATCGACTTTTAATGTGACCGAATAATTGCTATAAATTGAAATTTTTATTATAATGATTATATTACAATAATCGATTTCTATGCGATGCAGTACATTTTATTCATGGATGATGAAGCAATATTTGATCAAGCTAAACAAAGAGCCAATTGGGTAAATTTCGATCTAAATTATCAACGCACAGTATGGAAAAGAATCATCCCCCTTTCAATAACTTAAAGAAGTGATATTCTAACATTCAATGTGTGTTTTACAAATAATCTATGATGGGAAATAATACAGAGCTTGTAGAAAATGGAAATTGCGGTAAGTTTGTTTGTTGTTAAGCGCAAACACCACAATGGGCTATCTGTGCGTTGCTCACCACAGGTATCGGTTGTTAGTGTTATAAACCTTCAGGATTACTGCTGAGCCTAGCTTTGCGCGAAATTCAAAAACAAACAAATACTGCTGAGCTACCAGGAGACTGAAAAAACGTGGTCATGTCAAAGACATAGCAAATGAATAATTCTGTCAAAACAAATTTTTGTTGTACATTTGATTATTCAAAACCACGTTGTTTATATCAGTTTATTTCTACTTAATTTTAAAAAGGTAGTAATATCTTGGTTAACTTAAAACTTCATTTAATGTAAATACAAAAATATTATTACTACGTACTTTTACTTGATTGTTTGATTATTTTGGAAATTTCAGTAACTGGTACGTGCATTGTAGTTTTATAGTTACAAACTAGAACGTTGTTAATCAAATTTAAAGTGACTGTAACTTATGAAGTTGTTAGAAATGTATATAAAAGTTCATGTAGAAAATTGTTTTCTATTTTTACACCCATTTTAAATTTCTTGTATATACTAAAGTGATTACTGAACTATATTTAAGGAAAGTATAAAATATTCTGTCACAAATATTACGAAACCCAATTGCTTGAAAAAAAAACAGCCATTAAAAAATGAAACCAAACAAAACTTGCATGACTTTGTGTAGATATATATGTATTCTACACTTGCTTATAGATGTCGCCACGATAACACTGGCAACAGAAATACTCTTTCCAGTTAGCAGACACTGAATGAATTTCTCAAAACTAGGCATTTTCAAATATCTCTTCCAACACCACTAGAATATTAAATATGACATTAAATATTTTATTCTAATCAAAGTATCCCTCGCCTGTGTGTGTTTGCCTGTATTTATATTTATATAAAAATTATAGTAATTTTTTATGGCAATAAAATAGCTTCTCGTTCACAATTAATAATAAAGATAATATTAACCACTCCATGTTAACATGGTTCTCTTTTAAGGTTATATTATAAAAAAAAATTTAATTGGTACCGCACGATATTAATTTAAAATATTGAATATGATGTCTTCACAGAAGTTAAGAAATGTACCAAACAAGTAGTATCGAGGAAATATGTTTTGGTCTTTTTTTTTGAAAATAAAATGGATTCAAACAGTTATATATTTGGAAAAACGGCTGCTATTTTTTAGATGATATTTATGTTGGAGTGAACCATAATATTTCGCTAAGTTTTTAAATTAAAAACTATGAGAGTTTGAGAAGATTCAAAATAGATTTGAAAAAATATGATTGTTTTATATTCAGAACATATTATATTCCTTTTAATTTTAGTTCATGCACAAATAATTATGTGTGAATATGAGAGTCTTACTTAACCAAAGAAATATTCATTTATGGATTTTTAAAGTGCAACTTAAACAATATATGAAAGACAACCTCAACTAAAAAAATTATCACTTTTGGCTTTGTAAAGTGCACCTTAAAGTTAACTAGTTTGAATGTGTTACCTGGTAAAGTGCATCTTAAAGTTAACCAGATAAGTTTGAAGTGTTACTTTGTAAAGATTAACGTTAAGCTATGAAAGCCACACATAAGCAAAAATATTAAAACCTGTTACTCTGTGAAATGTAATTTAAAGTTAATGTGAGGGACACACTTGAGCAGAGATATTAATACCTGTTACTTTGTGAACTGTAACTTAAAGCTAATGTTAGGGACAAACTTGAACACAAATACTAACACCTATTACTCTAAAAAGTGTAACTTAAATCTAATGTGAGGGACACACTTGGGCAGAAATATTAACACCAATTACTTTGTAAACTGTAACTTAATATTAATGTGAGGGCCAAACGTAAGAAGAGGTGTTAACGCCTGTTACTCTGTAAAGTGCAACATAAGGCTAATGTGAGGGACACACTTGAGCAGAAATGTTAACACCTATTGCTCTGTAAAGTGCAGCATAAAGCTAATGTGAGGGACACACTTGAGCAGAAATGTTAACACCTATTGTTCTGTAAAGTGCAACATAAAGCTAATGTGAGGGACACACTTGAGCAGAAATGTTAACACCTGTTGCTCTGTAAAGTGCAGCATAAAGCTAATGTGAGGGACACACTTGAGCAGAAATGTTAACACTTGTTGCTCTGTAAAGTGCAGCATAAAGCTAATGTGAGGGACACACTTGAGCAGAAATGTTAACACCTGTTGTACTGTAAAGTGCAGCATAAAGCTAATGTGAGCAAATATATTAAAAATATTTTACACTTTAAATTATCTCATCTGATTTCCACTGACGAGAGCTGTCATTACAACTCTTAATACAATTTTTAATCTATTTAGTTATCTTGAGTGAACATTATTAACATTATTATTGCCTTTCAATTTCTTCTTTTGTTAATTATTTGCAACATTTTTGTTGTTTTATAGGCACTTTTTCAGCTGAAGAGTTTTCTTTGCATTAAACTGTACTTTTGTTTTGTTTTGGTCCGGCATGGCCAGGTGGTTAGAGCGCTTGACTCGCAATCTGAGGGTCGCGGGTTCGAATCCCCCTCCCACCAAACATGTTCGACTGTGGGGGCTTTATAATGTACCGGTCAATCCCACTATTCGTTGGCGGTGGGTGGTGACGACTAGCTGCCTTCCCTCTAGCCTTTCACTGCTAAATTAGGGGCGGCTAGCGCACATAGCTCTCGCGTAGCTTGCGCTAAATTCAAACCTTCGTTTTTTTGTTACTTAAAATTGATGAAAGTGAGGTATTAATAAAAGCAACAGGTTCGATTAAAGTTTATTTTAAATTTTAAATTGTAGCTTCCTGTATTCAAATCCTTGAATTTTAAGAACTTTGTTCTGTAAATTGTTCATTATCTAGTTGCATCTAGTAAGAGTAAGTTATTCGACAAAGGTTAAATATACTTTCAAACAACTTGTCTTTGAGATGGCATGCTAGCTAGATTATTGTGAAATATGTTGTTCTGCACCATCATTTTTCGTGAACACGCGAATACGTAAAATATGCTTCATGTGAAGCGCAATGGATGATGCACTTAGTCCAGTTATACTATTAATAATCCGTGTCATAGTGTACCCACCTGAAATATGGCATAAGTATTACAAGAGATTTACCCTACTCAAGAGCCGTGTCCACACTATTGGGTCGCGTTTATCACCGTCGCCATTGACAACCTCTACGTCACATGACGTCAGCTGACGTTGCAATGCCAATTGCGTGGGAAGGCACCAAATGCTCGGTAGGCTCAGCAGATCAGAAAGAGTGAGATGGGGAGTGGTGGAACCGTCGATTTTCTTAATCCAACCGTAACTGACTCATACAGCAGAATTTGTTAAAAAAGAAATAGTTTGCGAAGCTGTGGAACTATCTAACGTAACAACAGCTTCTGCTGGAGATCTGCACACGTGTAAAGTTTGCAGTCGTGGTGTTTAACAAGTATATATATATTTACAACCCGCGGAAAGTAGCGCGTGGTACAAGGGCAAAGATCCCAGTAAACGTGGTTGGAACTTCCTCAACATTATTGAATCATGAGGAACCAATAAGTTATGCTGCAATGTAAGACCCAAAGTGACAGAAGTAAGGACCTTAATACGTGTAAAGCCACACTTTTTCTGTGCCCTTATGTTATAAATAGTTATGCTTACATAACATATAAATAATCTTATTAGATCTGTGCATATTGCTAAACGATTATCATCATATTTCTGGAAAAAGAAGTTACGAAAGAATCTTGGAAGTAGGTGTTACCTTGTTTCATCTTTCTATTGCGTAAGCTCATCTCTCATTTCTCTTTAGCCCTGCTAGACGGAGCTAAACTTTAGTATCTTATTAATATTTGGTTGTATAATTTAACTTCAGAACGTTGCAATTGGGGTCATGCCATTTACTTTTAGAAGAGTTAAGATAAAACATTTTACAATCTAGTTTATTTTTTAACAGCCAAGCTTTAGCATCTCACTCTGAAATTTATTATTTTAAGTCTTAACATCTAACACTTTAAAATCTTTTACACTTTAAAGCGAAAATGGAAGCATTAGAAATTGACCCAAACTTCGAACCTCAGACTCGAGCTCGCTCTAACACTTGGCCCTTGCCACGTCCGGAGAACTTCGAGGAGAAAGACGGCGAAGAGAAGCCAGCGATTCCCGCTACTGTCTATGAACATGCAGGGTCCCCCGCAGAGACCAACGGGCAGCCACCACGGAAAAACACGGCACGAAGAAACGCATGGGGTAACATGTCGTATGCCGATTTAATAACACAGGCAATCCAAGCATCACCCGACAAACGGCTAACTTTGTCTCAGATCTATGATTGGATGGTCCAGAACGTACCGTACTTTAAAGACAAAGGAGAAAACAACAGCTCGGCAGGTTGGAAGGTAAGGAGTTTAGATCCCTTACACGTGTAATTATGTTTAGATAGTAAATAATATCCACACTTTGAGGCGTCAAGATCCGCTAATTCGATTAAGAAAGAATGGAGAAAATAGATATTTAAAGAAAAATAGCCAGAAAAGTTTATTGAGCCTTTCAGTGTCACAAAACAACAGCTTTCTCTTGTAATGTTTGTTCCTGTAGAATTTATGATACCATTTTTCGGTTGTGTATCATTAAATGATCAATTTCAGCTTCTTGTCTTGCACTGACTCTTTGGTTGAGTAGAAGTTGGTAAATTTCAGTATCGTGATAAGTATGTATCTCCTGTAATTCTTCTCAGTGTCCTATGATAAAGATGCAAAAATTAACACTTTTCATGTCCATGCTTGTTTTGAGACAGAATCCGTCTTGTGATTAAACAACTGGCTTAATGTATATCAAATTTGAAGCAAACTAGATTCTTATTTGATCTTAATAATTAAAAAAATATCATTGTTGCTATCAGAAATGAAACTCCGTGTTTACTGAATATAGTTTATTTATTATGATATAAAGAGAGCAACTCAAATGTCTATGAACTTTGAGCCTCTTGGTTCGTTTGGTAGGGAACCAGGAAAGTACAGGTTTTGTTTGGCAAACATATGATTTATTTACTGGCAGTTAAACATTCTTTCAGGTATTAAAACTGCAAAGCTCAGTGCCAAATTCTCAGATTATATACACGTAATAAAAATTCAGCTTTATAAAGTGCATTCAACATTTATCTTCAAAGCACTAACCTTAAAAGACATCCTTGCAAGAAAGTTTTGTAATTGTTATAAGGTCATATCATAGTTCAAAATATTATGCATATTCATAGTTTCAAAACTAAAGTATGGAGGGTTAAAAATTCTTAAAAGAAATGCGCCGAGCATATTTAAGCTCTTGAGAATGAAAGATGAGGTTAGACGAATTTATTTCAATAAAACCTTTTCCGGAAGAACCTATAATAGAGAGAGCAGATAGGTTTCAAACCCGAGATTCTGCATGGAAATTTGCTTTAACCATTTCAGGTACTGCATCTTAAGTAACTCACACCTTAGGTTATAAATTGATTGATTATTATATATAGGGCAATATATGACAAGATTCTAGATCCAAAGTGCTTGTAAAAGCTCATATAATAAGTTTATAGCTATTTTGTGTTTGAAGAAGCCAATTTTAGTCACTTTTCCTACAATAGAATCATCACTTTATGACGTGTTTCCTTTCTTTTCGGATTTAATAGTTTATCTTGTACTCGTTTCTTCTATATTATCACTAAGTTACCGTGTACCTAATTCTAATACGATCACTATTCTATGATATGTCCGTGTATCTCCAGATTTTAATCTGAGTTATAATCTCTCTCTCTTTTAATTAGGTCGTTAGTTTGTCTAGCAGTCTTGTTTTGGTCATTAGTCTCTGGTGTTTCCCTTTTCTCGTGGATCACCAGCCTGTGTTGAACACTACAATCTTCAGACTATGTATGCTACGCTCTTGTCCAGATCATTTTCCCAGATCATCTCTTTTTTTTTTCAGAGTATTTTTACCTCCTCCTGTCAGATCCCCGTCCTGTTTTACCCCCTTTTCCCTAGGTTTTAAGTGTATGTATGTCCTTTTCTAACCCAGCTCGCCAAAGTACGTTGTACGTCTCTCTTCACTAGATATACAACGTGTTTAACCCCTTGTCGTTCAAACCTCCAGTTCTTGTTGTATTATCTATTTTTTTTTATCCAAGCGTTTAAACTATGCTGTATTTCCTTCTAGTCCAGATACCCAACATGTACTTTGCCCCTTTCACCTTAAACTAATCTGAGTTGTACCTCCTTAATCGTGATTTATAACTTGTGTTGTAATACTTTACACCCAGAACGTCAATTTGTATTTCACCCTATCTGATCCAGATCGTTAATATGAGTTATTTAACCTCCTTCATCCCAGGTTTGTAGTTTGTGTTTTAACCCCGTATTATCCCCCTTTTCACCATGATCACTAGTCTGTGCCATACCTTCTTTAACCTAGATTTATAGTTTATGTGTTAATCTCTGTGTTAGAACCTCGTTAACACAATATATCCAATTTGTGTAGTACCCTCTCTCGTTTGTATCTGTTATCTGTGCTCTATCCTATTTCACTGCCATTTCTAGGAACCGATGTTGTAAAGAAACGCCAGAAAGCTAGATAAAATTTCGGGGAAGTGGGGCTAAAGACTGTATTACCCTAACTATGTCTACGGCCCATATCACTTGAATATCTAGTGCACCTTGTAGCCCTTATTGTTTGAGTCTCCTCTTTTTATTATAATCCCATCATGGACAGATCGTCAATTAGTGGTTGAACACATATTTAGTCCTTTGATATAGTGGATTATTGTAGCCAGTTTCACCAAACACGTTTTATTTTCTTTGTTTAAAAAGTGACTTTAAAATCTTGTATCAAGTGCACTTCATCGCATAAAGTCGGTAGTTAATTAATGGTAATGAATAGGCCCAGGTAAACTGCCTCGTTATGTGTGTCTGTAGTAAATATAAGGACTTTTTTTTTTCACGTCATGACTTTCTCTAATACACGAGGCTGTTCGGTCAGAGCAGATAATATAGTATGCACAGTTGTGGCCTAGTGACGTAGCAAAGTTACACAACCCGTTCACTGACTTGGATATTCTCTAAAATACGTAACTCGATAACGCACTTCCGTGAGAGCTGGCTTTCATAATCGTAAGGATAACATTATTATTATTTTGTTTTTGCCCATATCAGTATTAATTTGTTTACGACTTGATGGTGCACAAAGTTTGTCAAAGCAAAGTCACAAGTGTTTGTCACATTTTTGGTTTGTCAACTAAAGACAGCATTAATTACAGAAAAACTTGTTCATGGACCCAGATTTATTATTGTTATTGTATGTTAAACAATGAACCTACTTAACTCCTGATCTTCCAATGAATTATCTGTATTCCTGATATTGTATCAGACAACTTGTTACCGTGCGTCAAATTATATAAATTCAGACCATCGCACTTCTGATCTTGTATTTTATACATTACATGATCCTAATTTAAATCCCGTGTTAAACCCAATAGATGCAGACCCTACATTAAATAATCAGACTTTTCATTCTATAGATCTCTTAAAATCTTGACTTGACATCAAAACATTTGACCTTTGACCCTGCGTTAATAATTTAAAATCTATTTTGTCCCACAATGACTTTGACATAAAAAAGTACAGAATGCGTAAAGCCATTTTCTCTGCCATAGAACTTTAACCTAAAATCTTGACCATTGTCAAGGGTGCTTTGAAAATCGTTTCAAAGTACATTATTCTTGCGGATATAGATATTATAGACAGAACTAAATTTTGTAAAGTCCCAGTGAAAGACTATAACAGTCATAAAAAAGACTTCACCTTGCACTATTTTGTAAAAAAAAAATGTTTAAGTATTTCTTTTTTGACTTATTGTTACAAGTCAAAGAAAGAAGCTATTA